GAGTATGAGAGGATATAAAGCAGGAGGGGAAGGTCTCAGGCTGGAATCAGGGAAGTTTGTTAAAGGAATGGCCCAGGCATAAAGCTGCAGATGAGTATAAGAAGACCAGGAACGAATGGGGGGGACACTGCTGCCTAGCAACAAGAAAATAACAAGGTAGTTAGAAGGACTCCAGTTAGAAGGATACTAACTAAGGCACATAGACAGACACTTTGGTAACTTACTATAATAATAAAACACACACTCTTTTTGATAAGAAAGGTTATTAGTATAAAATATGCAATTTATGAAGGAGGAGGAGAAAAGAAATTCATGTCAGGGAACCAATCTTAAATGTGTAAAATTTGTATTTGTAAATGGTTAGGGGTCTCGGCTTTTTTTAGCTGCTGAGATCGTTTAGCTGAAGTAGTTCAATTAAAGTACTTTGAACCTCCTGTCTGGTTCTGATTGGGATCTGCTCAAGGCTAAACCCATTTTGCGGACAACAGAGGAAGCAAGTAAAGTGATCTAAGGATTGACAGGAAAGCCAAGGATCTGGATGCCTCCCCGCAACGATTCCTCCTGGCTGATTCCTACCTGGTATTCCTGGACAGCCTCCTCCGCAGGGATCACCGAGTGGCCCTTGTGTTCTTTGGATCGGTCGCAGACCCAGCAGATGAGGGTCTCGTGGTCCTTACAAAAGAGCTTGAGGAGCTCCCGGTGCTTCGGGCAGAAGCTCCCCCCTTCCTCGCCCCAAGGGCCTCCGCATCGCCTGGTTTCTTCCAGCACCCGCGCCAGCTGCCGGTTGGGGAGGACGCTGCGGGGCGCGAAGGTCTGTCTGCACTCGGGACAGGAAGCCTCCGATTCCGACGTCCCCCAACTGCGGGTCAGGCAGCCCCGGCAGAAGTTGTGGCCGCACTCCGGGATGAGCACGGGGTCCTGGAAAAGGTCCAGGCAAATGGAGCAGGTGGCTTCCTCCAAGAAACCCTCCCAAGACGCTCCGGACGCCATCGCCGCCTCCAAAAAGGGAAGGGAAAGTTTACTTTCGCTTCTTTTCCTCCAAATCAGGTGACGCCCTTTGGACTCCGCCCAGGCTGGAAACCGAAGTGAATGGTTGTTGCTCTTGCGATGCTCTTCGCTGGCTTCTTAAAGAAGAACTGCAGTGTTTTAAAAAGAACAAATTGGAGAGGAGGAAAAATTCGCGGGACGGACCCCGATCCATTATTATTGGCCCAACCAGCTCGTTAAAGGGAAAATTGTTTTAAAAAATGGAGAGAAGCAAATCCTTCAGACGAATCCCGATCTATTACAATTGACCCCAGCATCCTGTTAAAGAGAAAAAAAAACTTTTTAAAAACTGGAGAGATGCCCCACCCCATCAATTATTGATCCAAACATTCTGCAAAAGGAGAGGTGGGGAAGTGTGGCCCCTTTATATGACTTGTGGATTTCAAGTGGGGTCTCCTGTTTGAGCAGGGGGCTAGACTAGAAGACCTCCAAGGCCCCTTCCAGCTCTAGTCTGATTGATTGACTGATTGATTGATTGATTGTCTTCAACTCCCAGATTTCGTGAGCCAGGTGGTTCAGAAATATTGGAAGTTGAACTCTGCAAATTATAAAAGGGCCACCGTTCCCCTCCCCTCCCCGTTAAAGGAAAAGATATTGAAAAATCCGGGGGAGGAAGAAACATCCATGGGACGGATTCCCGATCAATTATTATTGATCCAACCAGCTTATTAAACGGGGAAATGCTTTTAAATAACTAGGAAGAAGGAAAGATGTTATGGGACCAGAGAGAGCAAACTTGGAATGAGAGAGACAGTAAGAAGCCCTTGATAAAAGCCCAAATCTAATGCTGCAACGGATGGGATGTCTCAGAGATAAAGGGGAACAAGGGGGAGAAATTAAATCCTTTTCGGTCACTTTTAATACGAATATCCGGCAGAGGAAGAACTGCCTGGACTGCCCCCTTCCCAGCCAGCCAATCAGGAACTGGATCAGCAAAAGCTCTAAAACTGGCCAAAAGTCACGGAGAAGAGGCAGCCTGGGTCAGTCCGTACAAGGGAGACGCAGAAGGCTATCTTGTAGATGTAGAATATGGAATATACGAAATGTGCAATAAGATCATTTGGTGAATATAAATCTTCCAGTTCGAGGTGCCTGAAGGGAAAAGGTGGATAGAAAGAGTCATTCGGAGTCTCAGGCCAACTTAGGACAGGAGGGGAGGAGGGAAATCTGGTGGGTGGAGAACATCTCATACACCTTTGCCCTTTCTTCAAGGGCTTTTTGAGAGGCTTCTTTAATCAGAACAGGGTCTCTGAGGGGACATAGACAGCCCCAAGCCCCCCACTTTCTCTTGCCTTTTGGGTGGTGGCCCCTCTTTTATACAATGCCCTCCCCAGAGTCCCTCAATTGGCACCCACAGTGGCATTATTTTGGCACCAGATGAAGGTTTTTCTTTGGAAGGAAGGAAGGAAGGAAGGAAGGAAGGAAGGAAGGAAGGAAGGAAGGAAGGAAGGAAGGAAGGAAGGAAGGAAGGAAGGAAGGGTTGGAAGAAAAATCCTTCTGGATCTATTCCAAACTGGTAAAAAAGATGCTGGAAATAACATGGAGGCTGATTGGAAAAAGGGTCCATTTTTTGATGCAGAACCACAAACAGCATGAGGTTCTGGGACAGCTGATCAAATGACTGAATGAGTGGGTGGATCTTTATAGTTTCTGTAGCTCTGAAGTTTGGGATTTGTGCAATATGGGATTTGTATTCTGAAAGGGTGTTGGGTGATTCTTATTGTGGCTGATGCCTTTTTCCTGTTAATATTTTTGGGTGATGGGCTGCTTGCTCTAATCCTATCACTCTGATTTTGTTAGCTGTCGAAATTGCTGTAAGGGATTTTGAAATATCCTGTCTTGAATGGACTTCTGCTGGCAGTATTTGCTTTGCTTATGACTGGAGCCATCTAGATAGCTGGCTTCCTCTTTAACTAAGTTCGTTATCTTAAGTGCCAGAAACTGCTGTGGTCTATTAAGAAAGACTGGGGGCTGCTTTCTGCCTCCAAGGACATGTTTCTCCATTTCTCCTTTGGGGAAACATAATATTCCCCCTCTATTAGTTCCCCAAAATATTTCATTTTGTGGGGTGGGGGGCTTAGGAAGGTAGGAAGTAAAGCACCACTAATATGACTGTGGTTACTGTACTACTACTAGTAAACAGCTTTGGGTTATACTTTAGAGACCTAATTTACAGAACATTAACATCTAAATCTCTTTTTAATATTCCATATTTCTGTTTCAGGGAAACCTTCAATCTGGGAACGGTTAATATTTTATCATCTAGTGTATTAAAGGGAAATACTGTATAGCAAATTCCATCACCTAATTTTTTAAAGCCTGTATTCTAGCTAGTGAAATAACTGAACCCATTTCTCTATAACTGGCTGTAGCATCCTTTTTTATACTCATTGACACTCTGAATGAATGATTCTTTTCCCAACTAAGTGTTCAAGCTGAAATGAAGATGATTTTTTAAATTAGCAGATCAATTCATCACAATCTACATAAAAGGAATTAAATTCTGTTCAGTTGTGGTCACCATTCAAAAGCACTGTGTTTGAATTTAGCCTGGTGGTTTATTTTTATCTCCTCCTCTTTGTTTCCATATAGCTCAGAAAAATATTTGACTAGCATTGTTGGACCTGTAGATATCAATACAAAAGATTTTAAATAGATATCACCAGGATTCAAACTCAACTCAGCGAGGTAGGTTTTTGTTTTTTTTACTTCTACAACCCATTCAGTAATTTCTAAGTGGGCCTGTGAGAAAGCTTATTTCATTTTCAAGGCATTATCTTCAGATTAGATTATTACTACTGTTAAACATCCATGCAAAAAGAGATGGCTCTCAGTACAAAGAAACAAAAGCAATTCAAAATGCACTCCCTCCCACCCACAAGGGCACCATTTAAGCACCATCAAAAGTACAAATGAAAACTTACAACAGTTAAAATTACTTATCGTTTTATTGTCATAAGAGCCCTGGTATCCATAAATTTACAGCCACATTGAATAGGAATAGGAACAGAACAGAACAGAACAGAATTCTTTATTGGCCAAGTGTGATTGTCTTTGGTGCATATGCTCTCAGTGTACATAAGAAAAAATAAAATACATTCAACAAGAATCATAAGGTACAACACTTAGTGATGGTCATAGTTTAATAATAAGCAATCAAATCTTACTAGGAAACAAACAAAACAATATAAATTGTAAAGATACAAGCAACACGGTTATAGTCATAAGTGGGAAGAGATAGTTAATAGGATGAGAATAGTAATACAATAAATAAAAACCCACAAACGATGCAATCCTAATCCTTTACACCTGACGCCCATAACAATTTCCAGAAAAGTGGCCCTTTATTGGCACAAAAATGACCCAAATAAATGGGTGCATTGCAGTCGAAGGCAGGATGAAATTGATTGCATAAAACCCCTGAGCTCATACCTCCCATTCAACTCCACAGGTCTTTTCCTCTCTTGCAACCATGCTTACAAGCTCAGGTAAATTTACCTGAACTGAGTTTCGGTGGGCAAAGCAAACTAGGTTTCTTTAGCGCTGCTATGGGTTGGCAAAGGCTGGGTGTCAAGTCCTTCAACTTTGCAGGCCTAATTTTCCAAGACAAACTTACTGCCAGACTACCTCTAAAATTCCCTTTTGGCCTCTCCTTCTCCATAGCTCCACCCACATTTCTCTTTCCCTCCTCCCTCCACAAAAAGGGGTGGGGCTATCCATTGCTAGCCAATCCCATCTCCCCATGGATTCTCAGAGACCCCTTTCGAAGGCCCTATCTGTTCCCCCGAAGTGGGGAGATTCTGCAAAGCAAAACCCTAAGGGAAGTCAACAAAGGCCTAAGGGATGGAAGCCCCGCCCTTTATTTACATATGGGTGGAAGGCGGGTCTGGCTGCCATCTTGACTTTGTTGAGCTGCCTTAGGAAACCCTGACTATAATTCCATCCCTTTGAGATTCTGTTGGGCTAGATCAGTGGCTCTCAATTTGGGGTCTGTAGAAGTCCAATAATAATAACAAATTTTATTGTCATTCTGCATATACAGTATACAACAAAACTGATTTAGCCTCTACTGGTGCAATCCATAACAAAAATACAAGACAACATGAATAATGTAGGAAATGGTCCTTATACAAGTAATTAGGGAGAAAACAGTCATATGTTTCCATGTACGCATGGAGCAATTTTAGTTGTATTTAGGAGTCTGACAGCCCATGGATAAAAGCTGCTTTTAAACCTGTTTGTCCGGCTGGCTCTGCTTGTGTCTTCTGCCTGATGGTAAAAGTGAGAGAAGACACTAACCAGGATGAGAATCGTCCCTAGTATCTGTTAAGTTTGAGGCATGGGTTTAATGAACGGAGACCATATTGTAAACCGTGAACTTCAGCTCTTTATTCACAAGCATAACAGAGACAAAAAAAACCCGGCTAGCAGTCACTCTTTTATAGAGTAAGCTGCTATCCGGATAACCAATGGATAGTGTTATAGCGTTTGAATCTTGGCACGGCCCGCCAACAGCCAATCAGATTGCTCGGGATGAACCAATCATAACTTGCTATTATATGGGCCAATAGGAAGTGCAGGATTATGATCCTGCCATGCAAATGAATCTTTATTAAATACATTTCTTTAGTTCACAACACCCCTCCCCCCTGGGTTCCCTTTGACGGCCGTGGTGACGTAATCACGCAGGTATGCAGGTCGTTTTACCTGCCTATTTGATTTTCACTGTTCCACCGGTTTTTGTTTAAAGTTCGGTTCCGGTGGAACGCAAGGCTCGTCTTCGCACGGGGTTGATTCTGCGGTGCTGTTTTCGATACTATCATGGTCCCTTAAGTCCACTCCTGGAATGGGCGGGCATGTTACCACTACGGTGTTCCTCTGCGGGGAGGATGCCCCCGATCCCGGACCTTCTTCAGGTGGCGCGAGTATTCGGTTTAGCGGCCGTCTGTCCTCGATTACGTCGTCGTCTATACGGCCTTCGTCCCTCTCGGTATTCCCTCCCCCTTGATTTTGGAAGTCTGGGGGGTCGCGGATATTGGGTTGTAAACGAGATTGAAGTTGATCTATGTGGCGTTTCCATATCTTGCCGTCTGTCGTTTTAAGGCGGTAAGATCTAGGGCCAGTGAGGTAGACTACGGTGGCTGGGACCCACAACGGTTCCCCGGAAAGGTTTTTGGCATAGACCAAGTCGCCTACCTTGAATTGGCGATACGTTCCGCTGGATCCACAAGGTTTCTCTGGCGAATAAGACGGGTGTAATCGGTCGAGGCGGGAGCGAAGCTTCCGCGCCATTAAAAGTTCGGCTGGGGTCTTGTTGGTGACACTGTGTGGGGTAATGTGCTGTAGTAAGAGTATTTTGTTCAATCTAGTGTCGATGTCCCCAGGATCCATTTTTTGTAGTGTCTTTTTAACGAATTGGACCATCCGTTCCACCCTACCGTTTGCCGCAGGGTGAGCCGGTGAAGTTAAGGCATGGCGGATGCCCCGGTCCACCAGGTATTGTTCGAAGGTGAGGGCCGTGAACTGGGGTCCGTTGTCGGAAACTAGAACGTCCGGGAAACCGTGTGTTGCAAATAATCTATCTAGTTTTTTAATAACGGAATGAGTAGTCGTGCTTTTCATCTTGTGGATTTCGAGCCAGTTGGAGTAAGCATCCATGGTTAGAAGAAAGGTGTGTCCTTTAGTGGGTCCCGCGAAATCAATGTGGATGCGGGACCACGGGCCTTGAGGAGTTTCCCATTCGGTGGGAATTGCTCTCGGTGGGGCGTTGCTTACCTCTTGGCAGTTTCTACATGTGGTTACCCAGGCTTCAATTTGTTTATCGATGCCTGGCCACCAGGCGTAGCTTTGAGCGAGAGCCTTCATGCGGACGATGCTCGGATGTCCTTCGATGCTCGGATGTCCTTTGCAACACGAGTCGCTGTAGTCTCTCTGGTACAACGACTCTATCTCCCCATAGGATGCAGCCCTTCTGGGAAAATAGTTCCGTTTGCCGGTGTTTGAACGGCGCAAAAGTGGCGGGGGTTTCTTCGACTGGCCACCCGTGTTCGACCCAACTGAGAACTCTTGCGAGGATAGAGTCCCGTTTTGTGTCGGCAGCGATATCCCTTGCCGTTAGTGGCGGCGAGTTGAGAGTTTCAATTTGCAGCGTAGTGAGGGTTGGAGCTGGGTCGCTGACGGTTTCCGGAAGTGGGGAATGGCTCAAAGCATCAGCTTTCCCCGGGCGATGCTGCAGTACGTAGTTGTAGGCTGCTAGGAATTCTGACCAGCGAGTCATTCTAGGCGACAATATATGCAGCGTTGGTTTATCACCTGCTTAAATGCCAAGTAAAGGCTTGTGGTCTGTAACTAGAGTAAAGGGCCGCCCGTAAACATATTCGTGAAATCGCTTCACGGCCGATACAGTAGCAAGAGCCTCTTTGTCAAGTTGGCTATAGTTTCGTTCAGCCTTTGATAATGTTCGGGAAAAGTACGCAATGGGAGCCTCATTCCCGTTTGGTAACACGTGGCTCTAAATGGCTCCAACCCCAAATGGTGATACGTCACACGTAATATTTAATGGCAAAGTCTCGTTGTACTGCATTAGAACAGCATCGGATGTTAATAAGTCTTTCACTTTTTGAAAAGAGCGTTCTTCTCGATGTCCCCAGACCCAGGTGGCTTTCTTGTCAAGAAGTCTATGTAGGGGCTCAGCTACGGTCGCCTTCTGGGACAAGAAGATGTTGTAAAAGTTAATAAGTCCCAGGAAAGCCTGGAGATCAGTCTTATTTTTAGGTCTTGGGGTGTTCTTGATTGCCCTGAGTTTGTTTTCGGTAGGGTGAATACCTTGTTTATCGAGGAGGTATCCGAGAAACTCTACCCTTTCAGTGCACAGTTGACATTTATTTTTTTTTAACCTTGAGACCGCCGTCCTTAAATCTATGTAAAACCAATCTGAGACGCCTTTCAAGCTCTTCTCTATTTGGGGCAGCAATTAAAACGTCATCGAAGTACGGTACAACCCCTTTTATTCCCTGTAAAAGTCTCTCCATTAGACTCTGAAATATCCCGGGGGCTACACTGACTCCGAACTGGAGTCTGTTGCATTTAAAGGCACCTCGGTGTGTAACGATAGTCTGTGCCTCTGCGGTTTCCGCATCAACGGGTAGTTGTTGATACGCTTGCGCTATGTCCAACTTCGCGAAGATCTTCCCGCCGCCCAGGGAGTGGAGAAGATGTTGAACCACTGGCACCGGATAAGCGCTCTGTTGGAGTGCGTGGTTCAGGGTGACGCGGTAGTCTCCACAAATTATAATCGACCCATCCGGTTTGATGGGGGTTACGATTGGGGTTTCCCAACGGGCATGGTCAATAGGCTCCAACACCCCTTGGGCTATTAACTTATCAAGTTGCTCGTCAATCTTGGGTTTAAGGGCGAACGGCACCCGATGAGGCTTAAGGCGGATAGGGGCTACTTCTGGGTTGAGGCTAAAGGATATAGGGGTCCCCTTGTACTTGCCTAAGTTGTCCGAAAACATGTCGTGGAATTCCTGGACGATGCTCTCTTCTCAATCGTCACTTCCGGCCCGGTGAATGCCGGCCACCTCGATCCCGAGTGGGCCGAACCATTGTAGGCCTAGTAAACTGGGCCGGTCACCATCGACGACAGTTAATGGGAGTGACACGGCACGATTTTTAAAAGATACTTGGACTTGACTCTCTCCGACGACTGGGATCATGTTCCCTTGGTAGTCTCTGAGGATGATTTTCTGTGTCCTGAGGTCTTGACGACGGATGGCAGGGATCAGCTGTTTAAAGGTCTTCCAGGAAACCATCGAGAGGGACGATCCAGAGTCGACTTCCATCAGGCAAGGTTGGTTCTCGATGGTAACTTTCACTCGGATCTTTTGTTTGTCTAATGACGAAGCGTGGCCGATAATAATAGTCTGGTGTGCCTCTTCTCGTCTTGCTGGAAGAGCAGATGTTTTGCTGCTGTAGGCATGGTTGTTCCATTGGTTATTCAAACGATCCCGATTTGCAGGGAGGTTCCCTGTGGTTTGGCGGAGGTTGTTCTCCTTTCTGTTTGTGTTGGATTCCCTCTTACTTCTGCAGACCCGTGCGATGTGGCCTCTCTTCCCACAGGAACGGCAGATTGCGTCGAGGAATTTGCAACCGGATCGCGGGTGGTTTCCCCCACAACCCGCACATGGGTGCTGAAATTTTAGAGTTTGTTGATCTCGTTCGGCTCGAAGTCTGTTAACCTCTTCTTCATCACACTCGGACTGGGACTCGAGGTCCTCATGGTGCGCTGTTGCTGAGTGTCTTTCTAGTTGAGGCGAGGCTTCACGGGCGAATTGACGGAGCGGTGCGTTGGTGCAGCTCATTCGAGCGGCCGACTTCTTGGTTGCCTCTGCTGCAGTAGCGTCTGCAATGGCATCTGCAAGACCGATGTCCCCTTTTGCCATGATCTTGCTCTGTACTGTGTGGTCATCTAATCCCAGAACTATGCGGTCTTGGATAGCTTCTTCTAGGTCTGAAAAATCACGGAGGCCTCCCAGGTTTCTAAGGTCAGCGATGAAGTCTGCAATACTTTCACCCTTCCGCTGATCCCGTTGATAAAATTCATGTCTCCGGACCAACGTTGGTATGGCGGGGGCATAGTGAGCCCATAGAATAGGTTCGAGGTTGTCCCAATCCATTGATTTCACCTCAGCCGGTTTCACGAGTGCTTTCGCCATCTTAAAAACGGCCGGTCCACAATGGGTCAAGAACACCGGCCGCTTCTTTCTGGGTGTAGCGTCTTTCAAATTGTTGGTTTCTAGAAACATTTGAAACCGATCCATATACGACTCCCAGTCTTCCTTTTCCGGGTCAAAAGGAGCGGGTGGTATAGCGCCACCTGACATCCTGCCGATGTAGATGCGCTCTCAGCCACATGCTTCGGTTGGTGCTCTGTAGGTTTTAGTCAGCTCTTTTGTCTCCGCATCCCACCTTCGTCGCCAGTGTTAAGTTTGAGGCATAGGTTTAATGAACGGAGACCAGACTGTAAACCGTGAACTTCAGCTCTTTATTCACAAGCATAACAGAGACAAAAAAAACCCGGCTAGCAGTCACTCTTTTATAGAGTAAGCTGCTATCCGGATAACCAATGGATAGTGTTATAGCATTTGAATCTTGGCGCGGCCCGCCAACAGCCAATCAGATTGCTCAGGATGAACCAATCATAACTTGCTATTATATGGGCCAATAGGAAGTGCAGGATTACGATCCTGCCATGCAAATGAATCTTTATTAAATACATTTCTTTAGTTCACAACAGTATCTCCCTTACTCTGCTGAAACAGGGAGATCTGGCGATGTCTTCCAGTGGTTTCTTGGGCCCAATTAATCATTCTCTGAAGTGCCTTCCTGTCCGCCGCTGTTTGTACCATACTGTTATGCAGCATGCGAGGACACTTTCTACTGTAGACCGAGTTGAGCCTTCCTAACCACCAGGGAGGTGTTGTTTTTCCAGGTGAGGTCTTGACTAATAAGCACTCCCAAGAATTTAAAAGAGGAAACCCTCCCCAAACAGTAGTTCAGAGAACCAGAAAATCCCACCTCTGACTGGCCCCACCCCCATCTATTCTCTGCCTCCCAAGTCCCAGCTGATTGGCTGGGTCTTCTTTGGTTGCCCTGCACAGGAAAACGGAGCTGGAAAGCAGGCTAGTGGGGTGGGGAGGGAATGGGGATTTTACAGTATCCTTCCCCTGCCACACCCACAGAACTGGTAATAAAAAAAATTGAATCCCACAACTGATATTAGACATTAAAAGTGCCTTATGACAGATTTTCACACTTATGACCAGGTGTGGACTTCAACAATTTTAGCAAGGGGTTCCGGTGGTGACGTAAGGACGAACGGAGGTACCGAAGTCCATCTGCGGTTCTTAGTCCTTTTTGCTGGTTAGTGCGATCCTTTGGTGGGCACAAATCCCACAGAGAAACGTGCCTGTGTGGGGAGACTGAAGCGGTGGTGAAGGGAGGGCAAGTCTCCATTGCAGCAAAGAGAAACCCAGTAGAGGCCAACAAGCAAAGACCGTCAGCTGGTAATGGCGGTCCCAAAGTCCGGCTTGTCCTCTACGAGAGGAAGCGAGTGAGTAAAATATTGCGGTGTATTAGGTATGTTTGGATTCCTCACTTGCTCCTTTGGCAACAGCAGCTTGTCAGTCTTCAGTGGTTACACTGAACAATCCACTGATATTTTTTCCACACACCGTAAAACTAATAACACCACTCTAAAACAGAAATAAAATCTCATATTGGCAGAATAACATAAAGAAAAAATAAATTTATTCACGTTAAATTACAAAGAAAGGAATTAAAATCCATGATCAGTCTTACAATCAATGCGATTGTTCTAGATAAGAGTTATGACAGACATCTAAAAGCACAATTTATGGCTTTAGCTGTAAGATAAGGTATCTTTAATATTGATACACCTGAAGAAATGGTGCTAAAGCCTATAAAGCTTCTAAGACACCTTTTTTTTTTTAATTCAGACAAATTTAAATGATGGTCAGGTTATTTCTCTCTAGATCAATCGATTGATCCGCTCCTTCGATTTACAAGGCCACCTAACCTGTTAGGGGAGCGTCAAGACAGAATGTTTATACAGTATAAAAATCCCTTAAATCCTGTGATGCTTTTTCGATCTTCGGAGATTTTAAGGCAGTCAGGATTGGTTGTGTCTGGATTCAGAGTTACATTCACTGTAAGGGGGAAGGGGAGGAAGGAAGGAAGAAAAAAAGAGCTTCAGCTGCAGGCTGCTATAATTCTTAAATGGAATAAACTATATTTTTGATAGCACAAGCGTATCTGTATTTTTACTGCGTGTTAACTAGAAAACTTATCTCACACATTTACCTGTCTTCCTATCTGACTTCGCTGCACGTTCTGTTTGGTTTGTTTTCCTTAACACCCGTTGGGAAATCCAGGCTTAACACTGGTTATGGGCCCAGAGAGACTCAGTTTAACTAGGATAAAAACAGGTTTATGTAAAAAGTGAGATTTTGTGTTGTTACACGTTACAGTAAACAGACAGCTGTGTTTTATCAATTATAGTTTTATATCCATATAGTGAAACATGGCACAATTCAGTCTACAAAGTTTGTCCCTTATATCCAAGCTGGATGGAACAAACTATGTTTCATGGTCTATGAATTGTAGTCTACTTCTACGAAGAGAAGATCTGTGGAACATAATTGAAAACCCACCAAACGTAGAAGAATGGGATCCTGAAGATGAGGAAGATAGTCAAAAGATAAAAGACTTTAAACAAAAAAATGAACAAGCACTTTGCATCATAGGACTAACATTAACTGATCAACAACTTGTTCATATACGTGGAGAGCAAACAGCAGTTGGGTGTTGGCAAAAACTGAAGAGGATTTATGTTCGAGATAACGTTGGTGCTCACATAAATCTAACACGGAAGCTTTTCCGGACGTATCTCCAAAAGAATGGTGATATGCTGAGTCATTTGAATACTATGAAAAGCATTTTTCAAGAACTTCATGAGAAGGAGTTAATTTTCTCTGAACTACACCAGGTCTACATAATTCTATCTTCATTAGACGAAAGTTTTGATGACTACGTAACTTCCCTTGAAATATTGCCTAAAGAAAACCTAACTTTAACTGATATCACTGGCAGATTGATTGAAGAGGCCAGAAGAAGGCTTGAAAGAGATCAGTTAAGGAGGGAGCAACCTCAAAAGGAAAATAATGAATCTCCTACTGCATACGCAATTAAAAAGTGTTTTAATTGTGGGGGGAGAGGACATTTTGCAAGATTTTGCAAGAAACCAAAGCACCAGAATGCAAGCCAGAATGCTGTAAGCCATCAAAGAAGAAATAAGAATTATGAGTTAGCAATGTATAGTAATGGAGTTGTAAAAAATAATTTATGGGTGGTTGACAGTGGTGCGTCCCACTGTATTACAAATGATAACAAAAAATTTGTAAAAATGTCCATGAGTTCACAACATATCTCATTGGCAAACGGATGGAAAATGAAGGCAAAAGGTGAAGGTATTGATCATTGTTCTAGTATAAATGAGAACATAAAAATGTTATATGTACCTCAACTTAAATTTAATTTGCTTTCAGTTAGAATGTTGGTTAGATTAGGATACATAGTTACCTTTAAGGGAGATACTTGTTTAATTGAAAAAGAAGGTAATACTGCATCTTTAAGAGGTGAATTATATGTGTTAAATGATAATGGTTTAGAGGTGGCTAACACAGTTTATGATAATAAGAAACCTCATGATGAATGTATTCACTTGTTACACAGACGGCTAGGTCATTTAAATTTTAAAATGATTAAGAGAACTGTTCAACTATCTAAAGGAATAAGTTTAAAACCTTGTAATAAGTATTTGCAATGTTCTGCTTGTAATCAAAACAAAAGCAAAGTTATACCGGCAAATAGAGTTGATGGATTTACTACCAAAGAGCCTTTAGAGGTAGTATTGTTAGTGTTTGGGGATTAACCCCTAGCAGAGTATTTCAGCAGTAGTCAAACCAGGCAGCCAAAACGAGAGCGGAAGGGCCCCAGAGTATACACACACTGAACACAAACACTGTTTGTAGTTTAAATAGTTTTTAATCCATTTAGAGTTTAAAGCATTGTCATTCAGTCCATTAGTCATTCACTATATTTCCATCCAGTAAGACTCACTATTACAGTCCAAGTTAAGATTCCTTACAATATCTTTATCAGCCGATAAAGATATCTTCTCCTCCTCCGGTGCCTCTCTCCAGAGGAACAAACGCTGGATATTCAGCAAGACGCTCAAACAGTAGAACAGTTGAATTCCGCAGTAAATCAGCAAACAGTAGCAAACAGGAACATCTCAGTCACAGGCACAGTCACAGTAACACAGAGGCAGTCGCAGTAAGACACAGTTAGTCGCAGTAAGCTTTCCAGCTTCTAATGCTTCCTTATATTGTAACTTCTAACCGCACCCTTAATCGGCTAATTGCCTGCAACATTGTGCTTAAAGTGATAAGCACTTAAACCATGATATCTAAGTTTTATATATTTATTCACCCAAACCATATTTGGTATCAATGTTATACCTAACAAGTATTTGCCGATATAATAGGTCCTAAAAAGCCAAGTGTAGGTGGTGCTAGATACATATTAAGCATAATGGACCACTATTCTAGGTATGGTTTCTGTTTTCTAATGAAGAGAAAAACTGAAACGTATACAAATTTCTTTAATTGGTTAAAATTTGCAGAGAGGAAAACTAAAAAGAAATTAGTAACTCTTATAACAGATAATGGTGCGGAATTTACAAATAATAAATTCCAGAATAGACTTAGAATGGCAGGTATTCAACATAAAAAGTCTGCACCATATAGGCCTCAACATAATGCATTTATAGAGAGACGAGGTCAAACACTGCAATCAATGGGAAGGGCAATGTTATCTGATTCTGGATTACCTGACAATTTGTGGGGAGAAGCTATAATGTGTGGTAATCACATATTAAACAATGTTGTTAATTCAACAACAGGTGAATTACCATTTACTCTGTGGCATGGTAGGAAACCTGATTTGAGTTATATTCACACATTTGGTGCACCAGCATGGGTGCATATCCCTACACAACTCAGGCACAAAGGACAACATAGAGCTAAAAGATTAATTTTTGTTGGATATTAAGCAAACCATAGATCTTATAGATTCTGGGAACCAGGTACATCTAGAGTATACTGCAGTGCTAGTGCACAATTCCTAGAACATATAGGATGGAATAGATTAGAGCAGGATTCAGATAATGATATTATTATAGAACCCTATAAGAGGCAGAAAGAAAAGACTAGTTATAAGAAAAGTCCAATTAAAGAAGAAGTCCATGAAGAACAAATAGAACCAGATCAAGAGGAAATAATTGATCAAGAAGAGATAGATAGTCAAGAACAGGAAATAAAGGAAAGTCCACCTGTAAGTCCTGTTATACCTAGACGCACAACGCATATAACCAAACCACCTGAAAGATATCAGGCAAGTATAGTTTGCCAAGTAAATAAAGTTCCTACTAGCATAGATGAACTTAAGATGTATCCTGCTAAGGATCAGGAGAATTGGCAAAAGGCAATGGAAAAAGAGTTAAATTCATTAAAGGAAATGAAGGTTTATGAAGAAACCAAATTACCTCCAGGAGAAAAATCCATTGGGTGCAAATGGATACTTAAAGTAAAGACTGGAAATAATGGGAAAGTAACTTATAAGGCTAGGTTAGTAGCACAAGGATTTAACCAAAATGTATATGATTATGATGAGGTATTTGCACCAAATCTTAAGGCTACAACTTTAAGAGCCACTTTAGTATGGGCAGCTAAGAATAATTATATTGTTAACCATTTAGACGTAGAAACTGCATATCTG